GTCGATTTGAGGGGTATATAAAGAAATAAATTATGCCAGCTTTAATAACTGACTTCTCTTTCTCTACATGTGAGAAGATCCTTCCTGTCTTTCCCCAAAATTGAAAGTTGTTTCCACTGGCTCTGAGCAATACATGTCTCTTCTTTTTACTACACATGTGTGTTGACTTTACTTCTGTAACCGTTTCCCTTCCAAATATGAAAGTAAGGGAAATCACTAATGGAACCTATCTGTTTCCTCCTTGTGGCACTTGGTTGTACTTAAGGTTCCTTGGAAAATTGTTCACAGCATTTTTGAATTCCTGTTCCTGAATTTGGAATTCTGAAGAATGTAGTGATGCATAGCTCTATGTGTTACATGACTTGCATTCACAATCTTATGAGATTTCAGGTATTTTAGAGCATAAATAGTCTTTATTTAAATCAACACTTGTCTTGGAGTATGTACGACTCAGCAGTATGACCAAAAAGAATACCTACTTCTCATGAAGAAGTATCCAAAGGATCTTCTCAGAAAGGAAGATGTTAGAAATTATATTCACATACTATAACATGGTAGTTTAATTGACAGTTTATTTGTATAAAATATCAGTGATGGAGTCTGTAAATAACCAATAATAGAAGCTAAAAAGATCAAGAAAGAGGTTATATATTGGCAACATTGATAGAATTGTCACCCTCTATTAATAAAGTGGTAACACCTTCTAGTGGACAAAGAGAAGGAAAATAAAAAAAGTTATGGAGATAATTCATTAAGACATTTCTTATTAATTAAAGCACAGCCTTGAAGGCATATAGTAGAATATTAAAGGACCACCAAAGAGACCAGGAATAAAGCCAGGGTTATTGAGGAGTCTAGTTGACTCTAGATGACTGTACAGACTTTACATATCCAGCTTTTTGTTGGAGAGATATCCTTACAAACTCAGACTTGGAGACAACCCAGTGTTCTACAGTCAGTGAGGGGAACATAGCCAATGAGTTAAAGATCTTATACTGGTAATGCTCACTCATGAACAGAGGGACACCATCCACCTTGAGAGTACTAGGCCATATTTTTCTTTCTCTCCTCCAGATCTTCCTTACTGTATAGAAGAGAACCCTGAAATACACTTTTCCATAGTCAGAATAAAATATCTTTATTGCCCCATCCGTTTTCCCTTGCACTTGATTTCCAGGTTACCAGAACTGGGCAGAGCCTATTGTCAAGAGTTCACCCAATAATGAGTCAACATTCAGGTCTGTGATGACCAGTTGGATTTTTTGGATCTGAACTGGTCTGTGGAACAAAAGTGTCTCCTTCTGCTATTTCAGACTCTTATTTTATCATTGCAGCAAGTAATTATAGGCTCAATTCTTCCATTTTACCTACAATTTTAATCAGATACTACAAGCTGAGCATCTAAGCTCCTTGTCCAGGCTCAGGTAAATTTCTAAAGGAACACCATCAGGCCAGAACTGGTGACATGCTTTCCAAGATCTATTTTGTTTGTTTCTTTCTCTATAAGAGCATGTGTCTGGCATTAATTAAGCATTGTATTCCCCAGCCTCTTTTAGAGCTAGATGTCACCATGTGACCTACTCCAAACAGAACCACAAAGGATATTTATATGTTAGTGATTGAGAATCCTCTCTGGAGTTACAACATGACTTGTATTCCTTCAATCTTCCTGAGGTCTGGAGCTCAGAAATAATGGACAGGGCTCCAAAAAAAAAAAAAAAAAACTAACTTGGAACATGAAGAAACATGCTTAAGATATACCTCTCACAGGTGTCCATAAACTTCTGAAATTACCAGACCATGTTGGACCTCCTAACTCTGAATTCCAAATGAGGGAAAAATGATTCTTCCATTAGTTAAGCTCTTTTGAGAAGCAGCTAAAGCTAAATCCCAACACTTCTGATTTATTTATTTTCATAGTAGACTAAACTATCTCCTTGTATCTGAGGCAAGTTTTATTTTCATTCATGAAATGAAAATGGCCATCACTAGAGTAAATGTACTAGGTATAGCCCAGTGTGTTTACTCAGTTGCCACAAAAATCTCCCATTATTTTCTCAAAATTTTATTGAGAGTTTGTACAGGGAAAGTCTTTCTTCAATCACCCTTTATAAATTAGTCCTAGCAAGATTAGGAGTTATATGCTATAGGTCAAGTACCAAGACTCTTTCATAATTGTTGCAAAAGAATCCAGCCAATGGCTGGGCATTGGTGGTGCACACCTTTAATCCCAGCACTTGGGAGGCAGAAGTAGGTGGATCTCTGTAAGTTTGAGGCCAGCCTGATCTACATAGCGAGTTCTAGGATAGGTTCCAAAGCTACACAGAGAAACCCTGTCTCAAAAAAAGAAAAAAAAATACAAACAACCAAACAAACAAAAGAATCCAGCCAATGACACATGTTCTTATAGAGAAAGAAACAATAGCCAAATGCTAAACTCCTAATATTTGCACTGCCTCATCTAAAAGGTGTATGGGGTGACGATACAGAGAGAAGGGATTTAAAATAGCTAGCAGAGTTACCGGCATATACATAGAACATACGCAATGCACATTTCTCACTGACTGTTGGAATCAAGGGGCTCTCAGTTAGCCTGTTTCAAACATGAGCCTCTTTTATATAAAAGGCGGGAACAAAAACTATTCTTGAAGTCAAGTATTTTGAAATCCTCTGTGAAAGTGACACAGAGTACTTTGCACTGAAGAGATAGTTAAAGGGGTCCCCTTCTCAGGAGAGTTATACTCAAAAGGATCCTCTTTCCCTAGGTACCATAGTCCACCTGTAGGACAGAGTTGGAGGGTAGAATCCAGCCACATTTCACTTTTATCTTCTGTTCAGTCTTCACAGAACAGGAGCTGGTCAGGTACTAGGTTGCAGTATTAGCAAAATACAAAGAAAGACAAGAATACAATTGACTTAGAATAGTAAATCCTAAGGTCAATGTCTTTCAGAGCTTCCCACAAACTCCAAAGGACAGATAGGACAATGGCTGGATTAGAATTGGGGCCTTAGACTAATAAGTAACAATGGAGGTGATGTTCTAGCTGATACTGAAGCAATATAGTTCCCTCTAAGATGGCAAAGTACAGAAAAAATCAGGATAGAAAGTCACCTAACTATAATGCAATGAAGATGAACATCTGCATAATTAAAAAGAAAACTGAATAAAGAAATGAAAGTTCTTATGCCCACTGGGTAATAGGACTGTGGCTAACATCTCTGGTAGAGAATGCTTATCCAGTGTTTTGTCAATGTTTGTTTTTTTTTTTTCTGTGTACTTTTAAATGCTGGATTCCCTCTTTATGATTTTTTTTATAATCTTCCGTTAAACTGGAATTTCTATGTACAAATTAATGAGTAGACAAAATAATGGATTTTATCTTTCAAAAAAATAAGTGATTTATTTACTTATTTAATTTAGAAACAATCTTATTTTACATATCAATCCCAGTTCTTTCTCCTTCCCATCCTCCCATGGCCCCCAACTGACTCCCTCATCCCACCCCTCATCCACTCCCCAGGGAGGATAAGGCCTTCCATGGGGGGCCATCAATGTCTGTCACATCCTTTGGGGAAGAGTAAAGGCCCTCCTCCAAGTATCTGGGCTGAGAGAGTATCCCTCCATGGGGAATGCGCTCCCAAAGTCCATTTATGCACCAGGGATAAATAGTGGTTCCACTGTCAGAGGTCCCATAAACTGCCTAGGTCTCCTAACTGGCACCCACATTAAGAGTGCTTCATTTGGTTCAATGCTGGTTTCCCAGCTTTACAACTGGTGTCCCTGTGCTCTCACTTGATCAGGTCAGCTGTTTCTGTGGATTTCATCATCCTGGTCTTGACAGCTTTGCTCATCCCTTCTCCTTCTCTACAACTGGATTCCAAGTGTTCAGCTCAGCACTTACTGTGGGTGTCTGTTTCTGCTACCATTGGCTACTGGATGAAGACTAGGATGGCATTTAAGGTAGTCATCAATCTCATTATAGAGGAAGGGCATTTAAAGTAGCCTCTCCACTATTACTTAGATTCTTAGATGGGGTCATCTTTGTGGATCTTTGGACATTTCCCTAGTGGCAGGTTTCTCTTTAAACCTAGTGAATTTTTGATGAGGGTTGCTATATCAAGTATGGATTTTCTCTTGCATAGCAGGGCCTCAAATCCAATCAGAAAGTGATTGGTTACTCAGCAACTATTGTAACTATTTCTCAAGTTGGTACAACTTACCAGGAATAATTATCTCATAGAATTTTGGGGTCACAGGTAAGCAACACTATTGCTTCCTTTTATTCTCCAGCAGTCTGCCTAGCACATTCCAGGTCCACGAAAGCTACACAGCTAGGAGGAAGGCTATCTATATCATGCATATAAGATGTGTGGCATCTTCAGCAATACAGTTTTTTGTTTATTTGTTTATTTGAGGTGGTTTGTTTTGTTTTTCTTTTTTGGTTTTCTGAGACAGGTTTCTTTTTTAAATTTAATTTTTTGAGGGACTGTGGCTTCCTCTTTATTGGACACTTTGTAGACGACACACAGGTCTACAGTTAAATAATTATTAAAATACCGACCAGGACTATAGCCCTGACCCAGGGTTCCAAACCAGAAGCAATAAGGGGTGGGGTGATGAGCTGGCAGTACTCTTCCAGCATCACCAAAACCCAAAACCCAAGACTCTGTGAATCCTTCCAGGGTCAGACCAGGGCTTGGGCCCTTGGGTTAACCCAGGGACCCTTGGCTGCATCTCTTAGGGCAAGGTAACCAGCAAGGGTCTGGAGGGAACAGCCAGCCGAGTCCAGACACAGACAGACCCAAACGGAAGGAAGAAGATGGGAAACGGACATGTGCTGTCCAGCTGGAGATAAGATGCAGCAAAGGCAGGCTGAGGGGAGAGGCTGGGGCAGTATTGCAGCAGTGCGGGAATGCAGCCCCAGGGTCCTGTCCTGAGTCAGGTGTCAGGTGTCAGCTGGCAGTCTCCAGGTGGCGTTCCTGACCCAAGCCTGGCTGAGGGCTCACACGTTGTGGGTCCTCTTGGTGAGCTGGGGCTCCTCATCTACTAGTTTGGATTTGAGGTGCTCCTTGTAGGCAAGGATGTCTCCAAGCCATTTAATGATTGTCTGCTTCTCACAGACCCAAATCTCCTGTGCAACCTGCTGGATGAGTCTGAAGTCATGGCTGACTAGCATCATACCACCCTCAAACTCATTGATGGCATCTGCCAGTGCATCAATGGTCTCGATGTCCAGGTGATTGGTAGGCTCGTCCAGAAAGAGCATGTGAGGGTTCTGCCAGGCCAGCCAGGCCAAACACACTCGACACTTCTGCCCATCCGACAGGTTCCGGATTGGGCTCACCTGCTGTTTCCCAGTAAGGCCGTATCTCCCAATGATCTTCCTCATCTCCTCCTTTTCCTTGATCTCTGGGTAGCACTTCATCACATACTCCAATGCCGAAAGGTCCAGGTCCAACTGCTCCTGTAAGTGCTGATGGTAACGCCCTATCTTGACATGAGAATGCTTCCGGATCATTCCAGCTGTGGGTAGAAGCTCTCCAGTGAGCAGCTTCAAAAGAGTGGATTTCCCTGCACCATTAGGTCCTACCAGAGCCACCCGTGTGTCAAGGTCAATGCCAAATTCTAGATTATTGTAGATGCAAGGTCTGTCTTTTGTGTACTTGAAGCTCACATTCTGCACCATGATGACAGGCGGTGGGATTTTACCACAAGGTGGGAAATAAAATGACAGCGTCTTGTCACTCACAACCCTTTCTGTTAGTCCTGATGCCATCATTTTCTGTAGAGTTTTCTCTTTGCTCTGAGCCTGCGGGGCCAGCTTGGCAATGCCATGGCCAAATCTGGCAATGTAGTTCTTCATGTGTGCGATCTGGTCCTGCTCCCAGTGAAACCTCTTCATCTGGTTCTCCTCCAGCTCCAGCCGCGTCTTCACATACTGATCATAATTACCCATGTAATACTTGAGTTTCTTGTTGTGCATGTGGATAATATTGGTACAGACTCCATTCAGAAAGTCCTGAGAATGTGACACAAGGACCACGATGCGCTTGAAAGTCTTAAGTTCCTCTTCCAGCCACACACAAGCATCCAGGTCCAGGTGGTTGGTAGGCTCATCCAGAAGCAGCATGAAGGGCCGAATAAAGAGGGCTCTGGCAAGAGCAACTCTCATCCGCCAGCCATCACTGAAATCTTTCAGCTTCTTGCGCTGCATGGCAGGTGTGAAACCCAGCCCATGTAAGATCCTTGAGGCCCTCATCTCCACTTTGTCAGCATCCAGATCTTCCAGCAGCTGATAGAATTCCATGAGCTTCTCACACTCCGCATCCTCATGAGCTAACCGCTCTGCCTCCCTCTCCAGCATGGCCCTCTCTGTGTCCACCTCCATCACACACTGCAAGGGTTTTTTTTCACTAGGAGGCATCTCACAAGTCAGATGGTAGATGTCTATGTTCTCAGGGATGGGCACTTCACGTTTCCCAATAGCAGAGAGCAGCATGGATTTTCCAATTCCATTTAAGCCAATGAGACCATAACGACGGCCTGAGTTGAGTTCCAGTTTGGTGTCACTGAGCAGGTCTTGACCATGAAAGGTCAGTGAAAGGTTGATGATGTGGATGTCAGTGCTGTTGGGGTGAGAGGCCAGGACGCCGGTGACGGCGCGAGCAGCCACTTTCTTCATCTCAAAGTCCTCTAGCTCCTTGGTCAGCAAATCAACTTCTCTGGTCTCTCTGCCATTGGCCTCCTCATTTTTCTCCTCTGCAACCTGAGGTTCTGTGACAGTGTCTCCATTTTTTTCATGTCCCTTTCTGGGCCGTTGTCGAGCTTTGGCAGCTTCCTTCTTTTTGGCTGCTTTTTCCTTGGCCAGATCGGAGGGCATGGTGATGAGCCACAGGGGTAGTTACTGTTCTTTGAGCGGGGCCTCGCCGCTCGGCCTCTTAAATTTAATTTTTTATTAATTTTGCATACCAATCACAGTTCCCCTCCCTGCCCTCCTCCCATCCCACCTGTATCCACTCCTCAGAAAGTGTAAGGCCCCCTATGTGGGAGACAGGATTTCGTTGTGTAGCCTTGGCTGTCCTAGAACTACTCTGTAGACCAGATTGGCCTTGAACTCACAGAGATCCTCCTACCTCTGCCACTCAAGTGCTAGGATGAAAGGCATGTTCCACTACTGTCCGGCTGAGCAGTACTACAGTTTTTTCATCTAGTTCTAGTGTGTAACCAAGAGGAATGGCAAGATAATGTACTGTTTGGGGCTTGAGGGGGGCACACTGACCACCAGCTCATAGGGAGGTAACCCATGACTATGGTGAGATTAATCAGATGTACGTTAGCACATGACATTATCAAAAACAAACTTAATTTCTGAAAAGTATAGAGAAAAACTATCTGTACCTTTTGTTTGAAAAGCAATTGCATCTTATCTCATTCTTTCTGCATGTAACTTTTCAAACGAGCTTTTCAGAAACATAATGACCATGATTTGTTTTTCTTACTCATCTGCTTTTTCCTAGACAGGACACACTCTGACTTCCAAAGCACCTCTAAACAGCTGCATAGATTGACTTACTTCATAAAAATTCAGTAGGAATGTAATCACAAATCCTGTTAATTATTGAGCCTTTAAAATCTGTTGCAGCATCTCCAACTGAACAGTTTATAATGACTACAGCAGACTGCTAACATGCGCAAGCTTATATTTTATGATTTTGACAATTAGCAGTGACTATAAAGGTCCATGACACATACTCATTTGAAATTTTCTTTGAGATCTGAATTTAAATTGCCTTCTGGGAGCTGCTGGAAGTGGAAATCTTAGAAGAAAGTCACCTGGTAAAGTGACCAAACTGTCTGGTTATTCAGCATATCTGTGAATCATAAACACCTACATGCTTTATCCCAGGTCCAAAGTCAATGAGTATATTCAGATCCACATGTGAGGTGACAGATGGTCTAATGCAGTTATCCAAATCCATCAGGATTATTGTACGCAGTCGTTAATAGAGGACCAGAACCATCCTAATAATTTCAGCATAGAAACTGGGAGTGCACAGTATTAGTATTACTTGGAAATTATTGATATGAAGGATAAGGTCCATTTTATCTGTCATTAGCAAATGGTAACTAAAATTTTAAGGGAAATTCAAAGAAAAATATCAATGAAAATTTTCCTAAATGGACAATAGCAGTAATTTTTCTGAAACAATTTGTTAGACAGTAAACAGCCAAAAGAACTGTCTGCAAAGAACTGTTCTCTGTACAAGTTGCCCAAATAGACATGTTCATGTTGTCAAACACCCACGTCTAAGACTAGTAACTGTATTCCATCCCAACATACTTTACTTTCACCAACCCACCAGTCGAATTAATAAAATGTTGAGTTGATGTGAGGCATTAACTCTCTTTGATTTGACTCAGCCTTGGATTTTTGACAGGAAACCATAATGGGAATAACAATCAAGCAGATGTGGAGACAATCCATATCCTTTCACTTTTAACAAAATGTTCACTCTTTACAAAGATTTATTTATTCATTTAATGTGTATGTGCGTATGTCTGTATGAGTTTATGAGCATCAAAAGTTCCCAAGTGCTCAAGGAAAGCAGAAGATGCCCGAGCCCCTACATATAGAATTACTGGAAGTTCTGAGCCACTGCAAAAAACGTTCTGGGTCCTCTGCAAATGCATTAAATAAACGATCTTAACTACTGAAGCATATCTCTAGCTCCCAAATGATCACATTTTTATTTGAGTTTTTTGTTTGTTTGTTTTGGTTTGGTTTATGTTGCTTTTGAGACAAGATCAGCTATGTAACCCAGGCTGGCCTCAAACTCAAACTCACAGTCCTTGAGCCTCTAAAGTTCTGAGATTATAGGCATGTACTACCATGCTTGGCTGAGGATTCGTTTTGATTAAAGAAAAGTTTGGGCAGTCTTGTTCATATACAACTTAAGATCATAGACACATTTTCACATGCTGTAATTTCTGAACATCCCAGTCAGCAAGCCTGCTTCACTGAGGAAAAAGGATCCACCATGAAAAAGCACCCCTGGTCAGTGCAAATGTCCTTCTTAAGCCAGACATGGTGTCATCAACTGAGGAGCCAAGAATCCGAGAAGCAGGAATACTGAACACTCAGCTAGGTGAGAATATTACTGGCATTTTCTAATGTGTTCTATACTACATATGTGCCATTATAATTAGCAGACAAGCATTTGTCATCACTATCATCCATGTGTTTTCATATCATTATTAGGCTCTGAGATGTTGGAAGTCAGCACTAACACAGATTTCCAGGGGAATATCTTACTTAAATCGTTAACAGATTTTTCTCATGTCCCTGTTAACTAGGTTCTTCATATGTTAATTATGAGAATTTACATTTAATCATATTTCTCCTTTGGTCCTTAGAGAAACAAATGATATGTATCATCAAATCTCCCTACATTTGAAACTAATGATCTAGAAATCCCTACCACATGGTCTTTCCTTTCTCTCTCATTTATTTACTCAGTTAAGCACTTATTCCAGGCACTGGCTAGCAATCAGGGCTACAGGTAAGCATAAGGCCATTGCTGTCCTATGGAACAGACAATTTGAGAGGAAAATGTTGGTGCATAATAGAGAGTATGAGATGGGGTCTCAAAGAGCTTTGGAATTATACAGGCAAGAAACAACAACAACAAATATGTGAAGGAACTGGCAGTTGAGATACTAGTTCATGTCCTTGAGTATGAGGAGGCTGGGCTTTATGCTAGAAAGTATATGGGTCACAGAATGGAAGCTTGGGAGCTGCAACATTTACAACCTTTTGTCATTGAGCTTCATCTTAAGGACAACAAAAGCCATCTGAAGAGTGGCCATCTAGGGGAAAGGGGATTTTATTTTCTTTGGTCATGGGATGGAGAATGAACTTCAGAAAAGTCAAGAGAAAGCAAAGCAATAAAGAATTAGAGGCCAGATACATCATAGGTTGTATTACCACAATGACACTGAATGTAGTAACATTGGGGGCAGCATTAATAATATTCAGAGGGTATGGTCAAGGAAGTGTGGTGTGAAGTGGTAACGCGGCTATAGGAGACTGAAGGAAACAGAAGGGTCAGATGTGTCTCTTGTACTCCCTGGACAAAGGTAATGAGTTTTTCCTCACAGAAACCCATGTTCCTGGGGTCTGGATCAGTCCCATGCTGGTATTCCAGCTATCAGACTGGGGAGCAAGAGTTCCCGGATGTTCAGGTCAGCTGTTCCTGTAGGTTTCACCAGCCTGTTCTGGATGTCTGTGATCTTCACTGGTCCTTCTCTGCATCTGGATTCCAGTTCAGCTCGGTGATTAGTTATGGGTGTCTGCTTCTACTTCCACCAGCTGCT